ATGATTTCTGTTTTTGAGAGAGAGCTGAGCCCACGGAGCTGCATCACGATGCCAGTTCAATTGTTTATTCAAGGAAGCAGAAGAAGAAGAAAACTCCTCTCTAATGTGTTGCAGGATTCTCACCTCAGCCTCTGGGCTTTGGCAGGCCGCTTACTGCTGGGGGTTGATTGGCCGAGCCAGCAGCACCAGGATCTGTATTGTTCCCTAATTTCTTCTCTGGGATTTCCTCAGACTAGCTCCCTCCACCCACCCGCTCTATTCTCTCTGCAGCCCTCAATCATCCTCCCTCTGTCTGAAGGCCTTGCCAAACTTTCTGGCACATGAAAACAATTGTTCTTGCATGTCTGAGCAAACGCAACCGGCTTCTCGGACGGGTTTTCTCGCCCACAGAAGCTCAGCTGATGGTCCGGCAGACAGACAGACTTCCTCCTCCGCGTGGAAAAGCGTCCGTGTCCAGTGAAATAGGAAGGGAGGCGTCTGATCCTCAAAATGACACAACACCATCAATATCTCAAGCTGAAATGGACTCCGAGAGCAGAAGCTATTAAAATATTACCATGTGCACAGTTTGTCTAACAAGACCTCTTTGGCAAGAGTACAAAATGCTGAGGAAAAAAACACCCATCTGGGAATCAGGACATCGTTCCCAGATCATGCTGAAAAAAAGCTTTACATCCTTCCTGTTTCTGGTTCATCTACTTTTTCTTTTTTTTTTTTTTTTTTCTTTTCCCCCCGACTTGAGCAGGACGGCTCTGAGCTGTCTGTGCTGTGATTTGTGATTCATCTGTAAAGGTGTTTGCAAGCAGCCGTTGCTCAAAACAATTCATCAAACCGTCCTTCCTAAATGAAATACAACCGCTTCCTGTTCCGTGCGTTAGCATGACAAAACAGGCTTTCCAGCATATGTCTCCAGAAACACGAACACTACGCTGCGTTCTCGCATTCGCTGAGAGGCAGAACAGAAAAAAAACAAAAAAAAGAATCACCTGGCATCAGTGAAAACACAGAGACGCTTTGACACATTAGAAATGTGAATTTGAATAATCATACACTTGCTGTCTTAAGAGCTAAATTGACTTCTTTTGTAAAATGTGTCTGAAGTAATCAACATCTCAACTAAAAAACTGTCATTTGATTTAATTATCCAACACTAGATTAAGATTTCTGTCTATTTTTTATATTAATCTGCTTTGTTTTGGCATTTTCTCACCATACATTTTATATATTGGCTTAAATCAAACAAATGTAGGAATGATGTTGCTTTTAACATCACATTATTCTGAAATGTTTTGTAATCATTATGATTTTAACAGTTCAAGCACTTTCAGTTTTCTTGTTGCTGAATCTGTGCATTAGCATGACAGTCGTGCTAAACTTGTATGTTTTTATGTGTTTTGACTATGTGTAGTTTATGCTTGCGTAATCTGTTATGTGTCGTCTGCTGAAGTCCAAATCCAGCTGCCTGCAGCATTCAGTCAGTCCAAACCGCTGCAGGAAATAAAACAAAACAAATGATGCGGTCATATTTCCCAAAGGCCAGAGGGATTTCTTGATAGAAAAAGTATTGAATTTTTAATTTAAAATCAAAATATGTACAGAAACGTGACTTTTGTGCACAATTACAAAACTAATGTATTTAGGTGGAAAACTGAGTTTTCCTAACAAGCTGCTGTTATTTGCATTGCATATGGATTATTCTTGATAAACTAGTAGGTAATGTTTTGCTTTTTGTTTGGTTGAACTGTGTTTTAACCCTTTTATATCTAAATTCACAACATAAAAGCCATATTCTAATATTTCTTTTTTTATTTTTATCACTTTTTTAGGTGAAAAGTGTTAAAAAATATTTCAACTTAAACAAAAATTCCATAAAATTTCACTCAGTTGTTTGTTAATTAAGGAATAATGTGGTTATGTGTAACCTGAGCAAATCATTTAATACACAATTACAACTCTGTTTGTGGAAACTGAACAACTTTGAGCTTAAAACCTAAATTGGCGAATGAAGAATCAGAATTAAGAAATTATAGCAGACTGGAAAATCAGCCAGGCAATGAATAATGGGACATGATGTTAAAAACAGTAAAATGCTGGTGCAAAAATCAGTAAATATGATGTGTTCATATTAGATTGGAAAACATAATCCAAGCAGAAACAACTTCGTTTTAGCAAGGTGATTTCAAAACAGAGTTTGCATGCAGGAAGTAATCTCTGTCAGGAATATATCTGACGCCAAGCCGCCCTGACTGCACTCTTTTGTTTTGTTTACCCTATAAAATTATTACACAGTCACTATTACATAATTATAAAGCAGCTTTTGGACTCCAGAGTTATACAAACGTTGTTCAGAAGTTGAAGTGAACAGCGATGCATTGGTAAAAAAATTATAATCCTGGTTTCTATAAGTTGTTGTGTTATAAATAAATGTCCAATATTAGCATCTGATAAATTGGTTTATTTTGAAGCTCAGAACTGACTGAGCTTCAAAATAAGCTCATACATTTTAATCAAAAAAAGTAATCTTTGAAAGTTTTAATAAGATTTATTCTTGCATTTATAAAATAAACTAAAAATTGCAACACATAAGCCAGAAATATAAAAATGAAGAAATAGTTGATGTTTTCCTCCTGCTGCTTTAAAACCCCAAATATTCTGATTTTCAGCACAAACTGCCAGGTCACAAAAGCTTTAAGATAGATTTCAAATCTGCAGAAATCTTTCCAAGAGCAACAGCAAATCTGTTTTGGAGGCTTAAGAAGAGACAAAAGGAGAAACTCAGCAAAGCGATGAGGTAAACTTGATTTCCCAGACGGGTCCGCTGGGCCCTCGCTTGTCGGACATGTTAAACAGACCCAAACTGATCGTGTCTGCTGTCTTTCTGTCTTTGCTCTGACTCATCTCTTCTGCACATCAATTTCATACCTGCCAACTTGTTGGGGAAAAAAAAGAAGAGAAAAATCTCTTTCAGATTTCACCGTTGGGTTTGTTCTGCACCAGAGAGCTGTACATCTGGGTCCCAGCGCCGGATGATGTCAGGACTGGCGGTGACCCAAAGCCCACCGCACAGAGAGTTCCTCCGAGAGGCCGGCTGTGCGCTGGTTCCCCCCTTCCTCTGCCTACGTGACATCTTCCTGCCTGGGGGAACCTCAGGGAGCCATTTAGGGAGGCCTCGGCCTCCGAACATGGAGGACGAATTTGACTCATCCCGACGGGGACGGGTTGGACACGGAGACGGAAGGAAGCCTGCACCTTTACCTGCCTGGAAATTACCTTTCCAGTCGGCCTGCGGAGTCACCGGGGAGCCTGCCTCCTCCAAACCTGCAGATTCACAGTAATTGATGCCAGACAGGAACTCTGGCTCGGCTGCAAGAAATAGAGCAGAAAGAAGCCCAAAGAGACCGGGCTGCTTCCGCTACCTTCAAGTGAAAGTTGTTTGTATTGACGTGGATCTGTGGGGAATCTTAGGAAGCCTGTTTAGTCCACTTTAATCAAACTCTAGTTTGTTTGTCTAGAAAGTCCGGTTCATTTGGAGAGGTGTGAATTATAGGTGTGCAATGTTTTGGTATCGATCTGAAGTAAATACAAGGCCTGTATCACTGATACTTTTCATTTAAGTTTGATATATTATCAAATTTATGACCCTTTGGTCATAAGGAGCAACACTCTCACAGCTATAAGAGAAACATGTCACACTAAAACAAATATACTCCATTATTTAATGCCACAAACAGTAATTTAAAAAAGTTAAAGTGGAGATGCATCAATCAGGAGATTAGGAATCAGCCTCTTTGTGATCTGTTTTCCTTTGATTATTTTGTTTTACCCAAATTAGAACACAATTTGGTAAAGCATACAAGTGTCTAGAAAGTACTTTAATTATTATAATAATTATTTTTAGATTAACAAAATCTGCAAAATCTATAAACAAAATCTCTTTTTGACATAAAAGCAAAATAAGATTTCAAGACTGAATCTGACTCTAAAGTATTGATCTTTAAACCCAATACTGATATCGACTTAGTATCAATATTTTCAATATTATGGATCAAAAAAGCGATCATCTGAAAATCTAGGTGTCCCTTCGATTAAACTGAATTTTGGCACAGTGCAAATGCACATGTGAACGCCAAGTGAACCAGAGAAGCTCCAAAGCAGGAAGTGGACTCCAGTGCAGGGCATTCTGGGTAAATACAACAGAAACAAACAAGCTACACTAGCGCCAGTGTTTTTTTTACCCACAAGAGAATTTGTAAAGCCACTAAAATCTGACCTTACTGCTTACTCCATTTTTGTTTACGTCTTGTGAAGGAGGAAGTTGCGCTCAATCTCTTCATGTCATTTCCTTCAGTGGTTCTTGGTGCAGCGCCACCACAGGTGAGGAGGAGAACAGGTTCGTTTCACACAGTGCAGTGAGAAAGCAAACCGCAGCAGCTGAATCTATAACTAACTTTGAAATTTTTGGTCCCAAATCGAACCGAGTCCTCCGAACTATCAGGTGTGAAAACATTCTGACAACGTGAACTAAACCACTAACAAGAAAAGATGAAAAAGGGACAAGTCTAACTGCGTCATTTGCCTTCATTACATTTCACTTCACTTCAGAGCCGCGACCTTTCACCTCTCACCCCATCTCGTCTTGTCCAGTGGGCCCACGGCGGTGATTTATCCCTCTGACACACCAACAGCTGTGTTGGGGCTCCAAGCAGAGTGTGGGCTACTATTTGCCGTGACTAATCGGAAACAGACTTCAAAAAACACTGACTGGTGAGATTTGAAGGGGGAGTGACACTAGAGACGCTGAACTTTTTGCTGTGGGCTCCGGCGGTTTCCCAACAACATGCTGGCTGGAACCATGGAGACACGAAGGTTCAGGAGATGCAGGAAACTTTTCATATTTATCCAAAATGGCATCTGGGAGTCTTAAAAATGTTTGCTTTGCACTAACCTTAGATTGTGACACATCCATTGTCACCAAATGAGATCGTAAAAATACCTTTTGATAAAATATATTTTATTTAAAACATCTTCCAAATAAAAAAAGAAAAAGACAAGACCATTGAGTTTCAAACAAATGCACTGCACGTTTGAACGTCTTACAGTCTCGGATGCCTCAGTCAAGTATAAATAGTCTCTTCTTTGGTGCCACCTTTTGATCCAGCATGTGTGTACAGGTACGTGAGAGCGAGCGCTCTTTGTTGCACCAGCTTCAGCTCTTTCCCTGAGAAAGTCTTGAGGGTTTTCAGGTTGCAAACGATCCACCGACGGCGTCCGGTCAGCGCCTCACTCGCAGCGGACCGAGTCCTCGCATTTTCAAACAGTCTTTCCCATCTTTAATCTGACAAAGAAAAGAAGGAAAAATGCTTTAGTGATATATATTTAAAAAACAAGCAATACTGAATAAATCTGCACCAGATTACTCTCCTCTCCAAACACTGTTTTTTTTTTTTTTTTTTAACAACTTTGCAATTGGAGGTGTTGTCTGTCACACCATATGAAAATTACAAACATACAGCCATCTGTTTGAGGAATGTCTCAGCGAGCTTGAAGCATGTATGGTACATTAAAAGGTGTTCAGGATTCAATTCATTTCAGTTCAATTCAAATCAGTTTATTCATCCCTGAGGGGCGATTCAAGGCGCAAAGAGTAGCAAGACACTCACAGCTACAAGAGAAATACATCACACTAAAACAAAAAGAATGTGTTGCTTAATGTCATCAACAAGTGATAGAAAAAATGTTAAAGTGGCGATGCACCAATAAATCAGAGAGCAATAGGATTCAGATGAAGGAAATCATAAATTATTTGATTTTTCCAACCTGTAATATATCCAAGAGTCCCCATATTATTTGGTCAACCATCAAAATGTAGTTTTAATTAAATAAATTAAGAAAAAGGTTAGGGACATATGCTTTGATGGATAAATAGGAATAATTTTGTAAATTTTTTTATTTGTTGCTTGATTCCAAACAGAAGCCCTACAGTACATTCTTAACAAAAAGAGAGAAAGAATGAATGAGGGGAAAAAAGAAAAAAGAAAGAAAGAAAGGAAGAAACACATGGTGTGTGCCAGAAAAAGCCAGATCAGTGTAACAACATTAATAAATCCATTAAAAGTTTTATTGTGCAGCTCTGAATTGGCTGAACATCAACAAAACTTGATGTAAGAAGAGAAACATGCAGAACATATCAATGCATGGCAGCTGTGCAATAAAGTCACTTTTAAAAAAATGAAGAAAAATAATAAAGAAAAGACAATTGTGGGCAGTGAAGGGAAATAAATTGTGTCTGTGTTCTGCATTTAGTGGTTTCTGTACAGTTTAAAACAAATTTATGTGGAAGAAAAGAAGAAAAACTGTTCTGAATTGAAATATGAATTTCAAAAACAATCCGTAGTTTTGGACATTTTTCTAACTCTCGGAGTTTTTGTTTGTTTTGTTTTGGTATTTCTTGTTTTGTTCGGGGTTATTTTGTATTATTGTGTGTTTTGACTTTGCAGCAACAGCTTAAAGTGCAAAACATTAAAATTACCGCTGATTGCACCAAGAGCGCTGCAATGCGCAAGTGTTCGCCACATGAATCTGCCATGTCCTCCTGCTACGTTTATGCAGAATAAACGTAATAAGCTGATAAGAATAAGCTGCATAAATATATTTACCCCTTTCCTCTGGTTGCTCAAGCAGAAGGTGCAGATGGTGCGCGGCTGCTTCCCCGCGCCCTCGCCCTGCGCATGGACCGCTCCGAGGCACGGCTGTCCCTCCGCGCCCGCGTCCCCGATCAGAAGCACGTTGGCCAGGTGGGAGATGTAGCTGGACGCCAGTCGGAGCGTTTCGATCTTGGAGAGCTTCCTGTCCACCGGCTCGGTCGGAATGAGAGTCCGGAGGGCCGTGAACGCCGTGTTGACGCTCTGGGTCCGGCCCCTCTCCCTGGCGTTGGCCGCGCTCCGCTGCTTCATCACCACCGCGGAGTCGCCCTCCAGCTTGCGGGAGATCCGCCTCCGTTTCTCCGTGGAGCCGCAGTAGCTCTGCTCCGAGCTGCCGTCGCTCTCGCTGCGGTTCTCGTCGTCCTCGGAGTTGGTGACGGTGAAGTCCGAGTAGATCAAGTGCGTCGCCACGGGCCGCAGCATGGCGAAAGTCATGGTGAAAAGTTACCAGTGCCTCCTTAATCCGCTTCAGAGTCGCTCCGGAAGACAAACCAGGCCGGCGAGATGCGTCTACATTTCCATGTGGGTCTGAGGTCCTCGAACCAAAGCTTGTGAGGAAGCTGCCCGAGCCTTCATGAGGCAGCTGGAGCTGGCCTGCTGCAGGGTGGACGGAGCCGCAGGTCAGCTGGACTCTTATAGCTGGATGGGAGGAGCTGCGCTCACTCTGGTCCCATGCAAATGTTTATTATTTTAATATGAAATATCAAGTTATTAGGAGCAGAAGTGGTTCACACAAGACAGCAGCAGTTTCACACCAACGATGTTTTAGATTAGGAAGAGTGAAAAATATCAATATTTGGTGGAATAAACCTTGATTTTTAGTCATGCGTCTTGGCATACATTCCATCAGTCCTTCAGATGTACGGAAGAGGATTAGGGCCACTGAAAAGCAAATAATTCTGACTTTAATCTCAGAATTTTGACCTTTGGTCTCAGAAGATAAAAGAGAATTTTGAGATTAGAATCAGATTTATTTTAGTGGCCCAAATCATTTCTGTACTGCTGGGTTGAGGGAATCATCTAAACAGTATTTGCTTGTCAGGGAACATAAAGGTTGTCATATAAAGTCGATTATTTCAGTAAAGTGGTCTTAGTTTTTACTACAACTTCAAAAACTCAAGAAAATCTTGAAAACAGCAGATAAATACGAGGAAAATATTTATAAATTATTTCAGTAGTTTTTAAGAGTGTAAAAACAAAGTTGCACTTTTTGCCACATTTTAGTCACAAATTGGCACAAAGTAGTGCATTTTTAAGAAATGGAATAAAAATGGTAGAAGGTTGTAAACATTTTTGCAAAAATAATTTGAAAGGGTTCAAATATCTCCAGCCCCCTTTTACTGTGATAACCCTAAATAAAACCAAGTGCAACCACTTCCCTCTATGTTAGTGATTCTTATCAATACAGGAAAGGAAAGAGGAACTGCAAACCTACATTAACATTGTTGTTCATTGAAACCTGGGATGTCCAAAGTGTGGTTCGAGGGCAATTTGTGGTCCTTGGAATGACTTTTTGGGCACTGACAGCAAATGAAGAACGGTACAACTTTGGCGCTCTGGCATTTGGAGCTGAAGCAGGTGAATACTTGTAATTCTTTTCAAGATGAAATGTTTTATTGCAAGTTTATATCTTCTTAAATGGAAAATGTTAAGTACAAAACAAAGAATTTTTCTTTTTTTGCTTTTATTTTTATTTCATTGTCAGTCGTGCCACAAACATCAAGTGACTTTTTACACAGAAATACATTTCCACACAACCACAGATGATCAATAAGCCAATCATTGCTTCATATTGAATGGATGAAAAAGTAAAAACTATTAGTTAAACAATCTGCCAGTGGAGGAAGACATTTTAACATAATATGGGAAAAATATTTTGCTCCACTGGCAGATTATTTCACTTACAGCTCATACATTTTAATCAATATTAAGTAATTATTTAAAGGCTCGGATATCTTACTGAAAAGTTAATTGTTGTCTTCATTCAAGTGTATTAGAAACTAGACCAAAAATACTTTGTAAGATTTTGTAGTTTCTGCTGTGTATTTATTCTGATTAATCACATAAAATCCTCATAAAGTTATAAACTAGTAGAGGTTGCAAAGTGGAAAAATGTGAAAGATAGGGCTACAAATACTTTTGCAAACCACCGTATATTCATTGAAGCACTTCTTCTAAAACAGTAAAGGTTTTAAGTGTTGCACCAATTATTCTTAGTCAAGACTTTAAGAAGTTTGGAGTATTTTTAGAGGCATTTAGGGACCAATTATAGTCAGTGTATTTTCTGTCCTGATATGTTTATTGCTCTGCCACATGCAGAGATCTGCTTTTATTAGCTGGTAAAACAAAAAGTGCAAGATGTTCCTTAATGCAAATACTCTCTTCAGGGACAGACATTACATTTGTGCATTTATTGTAAAAAGCTAGTGTTCTTGTTAGAGCAGCGGCTCCTGCTGGGACGTCCTCCGGCTTCAAGACAGCAGGAGAAAGTTAAGTGTGAGTAAATAAACAATGAACAGATGATCCTGGAATGACAGGGATTTATTTGCTTGCTGCCCTGGGTTCAAAACAACAAAGTGGTGGCAAATGGATGATTTAGTCCCTCCAAGCCACGTAAACTCAAGCTGGCAGCCAATTCAGACACTTCAACGTGCCTCAGCTGCATCAACAGTGAGAGATCAGACGCCCTGAGTGCCAGCTGAAGGAGCACACAGGTCTGTAGGGAAGGTTTTCCCAAACCTTTCCATGCCATGGCCCCGCAAACAACAATAACTTCTGGCAATGACGCAAAATGTGTAAAGAAATGACAAAATTAACATTTCTTTTCTCACTTTTATTTAGTATTCAATAATTATTACATTCATTTCGCATACATGCTGCCTCATACCTTCTGATTTTTGTTGTACTCAAGTAAAAGTAATACTTCAGCATTTAAAAAGTAAAAACAAAAAAAAAGTATTTGGTTAAAAATATCTACTCAAATACAGAGTAACTGATCAGTTTATTAATCACTTAATATTTAAAAATTACCAAATAAGATGGATAAAATATATAGATAAGTGGAATTTTTTGTGTTTTAAAGACCAATAAGTAACAAAAACTATATATATTTCACAAAATCAGGCAAAATGATTGTTTTCCAAATCAGTTTCTTTCTATAAAAAACTTATCAAACTTGAACCAATATTGCAGGTTTGTGTCTGACTGGTGAATGTTTGGTTAAAACATGTTTGTTTTTCACTCAGTGGGTAGAAAATTCGGAAAGAGTAAAAATACTTCAAAATAAAATTACTTAAGTAAATGTAATGGAGTAAATGTGACTGCCCAACTCTGGTTCCCAGGTTGAATATCTTACCAAGTTATTCTGACTTCATTAATCTAGTGTTGAATATATTACCACATAAGAAGTTTTTAATTAATCCCATCAAATTTGATTTAATCCACAGTTAAGGTTTTGTATATTAGAAATATACAAAACCACTAGAAAATAGTGGTCGTCCTTCGGTGTTTTTCCCGTCAGAAACTTTTCCGTTTTCAGCTTTAGGAGTAAAATAATCTCCTAATTTAACTGGCAGCCAATCAGAAAGATGAGAATAGCAAATAACTTTTTCCTGAATTTCCCTCCTGTAGGACAATAAAGAATATTTCTATCTTCTGTCTCCACATTCAATAAGTTATTTTAGCTCACATTTTATGATAATCCTTCAAAAATTGATATTTATTTTAAAAAATCAAATGTATGATTTAAAAATGTATTGGATTTTGTTTCAATTTTTCTTCCTCATTTTCCATCATTGTCTTGCCCAATTGTAAACCCACTGTTTCAGGGGACAAAGACCAATACAGGGTTCTCTTAAAATTTAAATGATCTACTTTTTTAAATTATTGATAAGGTAGTCTTTTCTTGCCTTCAGTTAGAATATCTAGTGACTAAACCCACCAAATGTCAACAAATCCTCCAAACTATTAGCCAGTAAATGATGCTGCAGGCCTCGCCTCTTTGGCTAATTGCACATATCATGAACTCTTGCTGCGGCTGTAACGGATAGCAGGCTGTGGATGCATGCAGCGTCCAAATGGAGCCATGAAATGTTGTTGGCCGAGATCAGTTAATGCTGATGAGGCGAAAGCATGTTGGTTTAGCCACCCGCTGAGGTCCGGGTCGTTGGATTTCTGAGCTCTGGGAGAAAACAGCAGCTCTGTTTAAGACACAACAAACTGTTTAAGCACATTTTCCTTCCCGGGCTGCAGGTGCACTGATTCAGTGATAAAATAATACCATAAATATTGGTTCTTTGATTACTTTGGTATTACAATAAAAGTTTTTCTTGGATAAAATGTCTTCACAGCTTCTGTAGACAGATGTCTCATTTAGCTTTTATTTTTCTTTAACATGACACTTCCAGTGAAGCCAATCATGTTAATGTGGTTATTATGCACACAAAAAATACAAAATCTTTTTCAAGTGATTTTGATCTATTTTCTAGTGTAAATATCTTACTTCAAAGAAGGCAAAACTAACTTACAAGTAAGTTTTCAGCTAAATATAGGAACTTATTTTAACTCCTTAATATTGATGAAATGGTTCTACTTCCTCTAGCAAATTATTTCACTTATAACATGGAAAAAATGTCTTGTTATAAGTTAAATAGTCTGGCAGTGGAACTAGTACTGTTAAAAAAAACCAATATAAAGGAATTAAAAGCTTTAAACAAGACCTATGTCTTGCGGAAAAGTCGCTTGTTTTGTCTTATTTCAAGTGTACAAATATATTTGCACTAGTAACTAGAAACACATCCGTATATTCCATTTAACACTCAATTCATTACTAAGTTAGTTGAAAATTATTTGAAGATTAATCGTTTCAGCCTTGGCATATACGCACACAGAACATTTAGAGAATCTTCTGAGTTCTGCACACATTTTTAAATACTCAGGTATCATTATGAACACAACTGTTGGGGAGAAACTCCAGAATCAGTCATTCTAAGGGTCTTACATTCCTGCATGTTTAAGATAATTTCCTCTGCTAAAACATCTGATTTAAATCAGCGGGACATTAACAGGCTTCTTCTAAGTGTGAGGTTTATTATATGAACAGAGAAACATCTGAAACATGCAGGGCAGTGGGCTGCAAACCCAGAGGTCAAGGTCCTCAGATATACTTGTCTCAGTGAGTCTTTTCATCTTGCTTCTGAGAAAGTTGTGAGATTTTAAAATCCATCCAGTGATGATTCAAAAAAAAACTCATCAGAAGATGATTTGTTTTCTTCTTAGGTGAGAAAACATAAGACGTGTTTTAGGCTTAGTTAATCCATTTAGATAAATGCAGTAGTCATTTGACAACCGTATGCTATGTTTACAGTAATTAAGGCATTTAAACATTTGATTAATCAATAACGGAAATAATCAACAACTAATTTAGTAATTAAATAATTAAATACAAAATCTTACCAGATAGTTTAGTTTCTCGTGCAAATATACTAGGACATTTGAAACAAAATAAAACTAACTTACATGTAACTTTCAGCAGAATAAAGAAGTTTGTTTTAAATCAGTTATTTCTTAATATTAATAAGTAAAGTATTAGTTCCAGAGTCAAACTATTTCACCAATAACAAGACATTTGAAATAATTTGCCAGTTAAACTAGTTTTTTTTTCATTAATATTCATGAATTGACTTAAAACAACCTACAAAATCTTCCTGAAAAGTTACTTGTTAATTAGTTTTGTTTGATTTCAAGT